ATGAACTATTAAAATCGCCACCTAAAAAGCGTTCATACAAAAAAACCATTACTAACACAATAACATTGGATACAAGTGGAATCCGAAATGTTATTTATAACATGTATGAAAGAAGTAAGTACAAGATATATTTTTCATCCAATCATAATTTATGTTTCTAATAAAAGTTTAAATTTCTATATCTACAGTACTTAATCACATATTTATTTGCAGAACAACATATAACTTTGGAATCTTTAAGAGAAAATTTAATTAAGAAGCAAATGTTTAATGGCTGTGCTACATCATTGTGGATTGTATTAAAAGAATTAGGTTTCAAATGGAAAAAAGAAGACCCAAGACGTGGTCTCATGGAGCTTCCGGACATTGCTGTGAAGAGAGTTCAATTTTTAAGGAATTATGTAGATGCAAAAAAAGCAGCTTTATATCAGTTTGTTTTCATTGATGAAACATGGATTTTTCAAAATGGAACAGTAAACCGCTCTTGGCAAAATGATGACAAAAGAAGTGTTAGAACTACAAAAATTGATGGCAAGAGGTGAGTCACGAAATTTAAAGTAAATGAGGGTGTTAGTATTCTGGCTATGATGAATATTATACATGTACTTTTCAGGTAGGTATTCCAAGACTTACATATACAGGGTGTTTCAAAAAGATATGTCATAAATTCTTCCTCAGATAGATTACCAAAAAATAAGTGGATTTGGTTATATTTACCTATATCAAATACTATACCTGTACAATAACTCCTGACCTACTCTTAGTCTTGTTGATATGTTAAGTTCAGGACGGGTGAATTGCTCTAGAAATTCAGTTAAAAAATTGTAAATGGCTCGTTAACTAAGAAAGATACAAAGTTCATTTCGCTATAAAAAAAAATTTAAAAATTCATAGTTCTTTTTGATTTTAAAATCGATAAAGCAAGTTTCTTTATGTCAAAAAAATACTTTTTTTAAAGGGGTCGTTTTAGATTTTTTTCTTCTTAGAATATTGAGCCTTCAAATCTACAGACTGGCAAAAAACTCAAAGAAAAAATCGCAACAGCAAAATTTTTACAAATATAATTTTTTTTAATGTTAGTTTAACGCCCTGTAACTTTGTTAGGAGCCAGTTTTTTATATAGGTAGATATAGCCAAATCCACTTATATTTTGGTAATCTATCTGAAGAAGAATTTATGACATACCTTTTTGAAACACCCTGTATATTTAGGTACTAAACGTGTAATGCAGATGTACTTATTGTAAGTCTTATATATGAACCTCACAAGTGCTGCCAAATATTTCCTTTAATTATTTTCATTTACATTTTATTACTATTACTATTATACAAGGTGTCCCATATAATTATGTTCAAATTTTAGGAGCATGAAGTACACTTCTTTTCAAGTAAAAAAAAGCAATATTAGATATCGATTTTTATTTCTTTCAAAGTTACATGCCTATACATTATTGAAAAATAATAAATAATCAAAATTCATTCTTAACGTAAATAAAATCATATTTTATTTGAAAAAAAGTCAATCAATACATTTTTGGCGTTTAGTTTTACTTGAAAAGAAGTGTACTTTATGCTCCTAAAATTTGAACATAATGATGTAGGACACCTTGTATATCTGTATTTGTATTCATTACATTTTAAATTTCAGTAGAAGTATAAAAAATTGCAATGAAATTACATGACACATGCTATATTATTATATAAATAAACATTATTTTTGTTATAGATATATTATACTCAATGCTGGCAACGAAAATGGATTTATTAAGGGTGCTGAAGCTATATATTCTTCAAAAACTAAATTAAATGATTATCATGGAGATATGAATAAAGACAATTTTTTAAATTGGTTTGAAAACCAACTACTAAAGAACCTTGATGAACCTTCTCTAATTGTTATGGACAATGCTTCATATCATAGCATGTTACTGCATAAGACACCAAATACAGGCTCATCCAAAGCTGAAATACAAGAGTGGCTAGCAAACAGAAACATTGAGTTTTCTGTTAATATGTTTAAATATGAACTTCTACAAAAAGTTGAACAGTAAGTATTATGTATAAAAAAAACTCTATTTACTGCTTCTTGATAAAATATATGCGAGAATAAATATTTTGCTGATTTAAATAATAGGAACTACAAGAAAAACATTTTTTTATCATTACATTTTAGATAACTGTAACAAAAAATGGTAGGTCTCTAAATAATCTTTAACTAAATTAGATCACTATCACCAATATACTATTAGGGAATGGGACAGCATTAAATATTTGTTAAAACATTTATTACTTCTGCAATTTTTGTGGATTCTTTAGATTTTACTAATAATAATGCAAATTATTACATAACTGCAAGAACCGAAAAATCAGATATTAGAACTCCTTATATGCCCTGATGATGGATAAGTAAATAGCCCAAAAAGACTAAAAAATCGTGTTTCTGTTGCATTTTCTCACTTGTAGTACAAAAACTTGTTAGGTATATTTCTCTTATCATCTACCAATGTTTCTATGTTCTAAACTGTGACAGATACGAAGTCAATTAAATTTGACTATTTTGGGGTCAATAAAAATCTACAGGTTAATCACATTCTTGAGTTGTATAGTGAAAACCAAATCTGTCTTTTTTAGAATTAAAACTAAAATTTTAAATTTTGTTACAAAATTTGCTATATTCATGTACCTATCATTAAATCTTCAATATAATGCATCTTTTAAGGGACATGATAGATCTTTTAGGTCGCAATGATTTAATACCCCGAACCCAACATAACATGTGTCGTTTCAGGAGGACAGTTTAGAATATTGACACATGCTAAACGAAACCTAAGTAGATATAAAACATATTCTTTTTTCAGATTCAAACCACCAAGGGTATATTTGGTAGATAATTTAGCGGAACAGTATGGACATAAAGTGTTACGTCTTCCTCCCTACCATTGTGTTTTTAACCCCATTGAATTAATTTGGGGCATTTCCAAACAATATTATAATAAACATATTGGTAGGGACGGTAATAAAGAACAAGATTGTTTAAATATGTGGTCTGAAGCACTTAGAACGATTACACCACAAATATGGAAAAATTCTATTGAACACACAGAAAAAGAAATATTAAAATGGTATGAGAGAGAAAGAGTTTTTGATAGATTGGAAATTAAGCCTATTATAATTAACCCCAACAGCGATAGTGATGACAGTGATTCAAGTACTTGCGATTTGGATTAGGAGAAATTATAGAATTTTTGTAGGAATTACAAAGATTAGTAGATGAGAGAAAATATATTTTTTAAATAAAACATTGTCTTATTTTAATAACATTAAATAGTTGAATATATTTCTTATCTGCATTTTTATTTATTCCAAAATATATATAAAAAATAAAACACTCAAAGGTTTCGCTATGCGAGTCTTACAATTAAATTATATTTACAATGGTTTAAAAAAGATTACTTAGTACTAATAAAAAAATAAAATTAAGATTTTTTATAAAATATTGAATATATAAGAGTAGATATAGCAAAAAGTAGGATATTTCACAGTTTCGCATTGATAAAGAATTCACTGAGCAAAACAGTTTTTAAATGTCTATTAAAACTGGTAAGGTGGAGAATCTTGATGTTTGAGTGATGATACTATTATTCATTCATGTTTAAATAGCTTTAGAGATGAAGGGAAGAGGGAAGCAGCGATAACAGTTTATAGTTGAAGCACTTTTGACTATCTTAAATACTTGAGACGCAAAACCATTACTGAAAGTGAAATTTACTAAAGTACCTACTCAAATATTTTATTTTATTTCTTGTATTTAAATATTTTAACAATCTTGAATTATTTAAGTACATATATCTACTAATATTGTGACTTCTCTACATGCCTTTGTAGATTTAATTTTTTCAATGATTTCTTTAATTTCATGGTGTGTTGTGGTTTATAACTTAAATGTAGTTCTGTTAAATAAATTTCTTGGTGAAATGAAATTAGTTTGAGATATTTTCTGTGCTAATTCTGGACCAATTTTAGTTCATCTGCAATATAGGTACTAATTTACAGTTTTATTTTCCATAACTATATTTGCAATATGTTTACATCATTTTCATTCAGATGTTTATTATGCATAAAGGAAATCAATATTTTTCATTATGTACATTTATAACTAATAATTGTTTTTGGTAACAACAAAAAGAAAACATAACCTTACAATTTCAAAACTTTCTAAATTCCTCAACTATTCTGACGATTAGACAACACTGCAAGGCCGTGACGTCATAAATGATCTCTGACGTGCATCGGGATTTGTATTAAAAATACTATAGTTAGTATATTTTCGGGAAAATTAAATTAGATAAAACATTCGTTGTTTCACGACTTTGTTTTGTCAATTTGATTTACTCATACTCACACAACATCGATATTCGATTTGGATAGACTTGTCGATTCAGGACAGGACATTCGCTTTATTTGGGCTTTGTCGAGTCACACTGTTTGATAGTTGTATAATTTCACAGAACTACGATAGAACATTCGCTAAATTGGCTTTGTTTTGTCTTGTCACACAAAAAGGGTATTCGCACATTTGCTTTACTTTAAAAGTGATCAGTACGCGACAAAACATACGCCAATTTAGCTTTGTTTAGTCTTTTTCTAAAAAACATTCGCCTTATATTGGGCTTTGTTAGGTAGTGTCTACACAACCACGTTTACCAACATTGAGCAAAAGAAACCATCCCAGTTACAAGTTCTTCGACGAAGTGAGAGGTTACAAAACAAGATGGCCGTTTCTTTTAGCCCAGAATATTTCCAGGTACTTCTGGACACAATAGCTAGTACTCACTTGCAATAGCCTCCAGATGTAACTACGACCAGTACAGGTAGTTTTAGTAACTGCACCGCCAGGTTTAATGGGAAAAGATGCCACGACACAGTAGATACTTTTATTACTACCGTCAGTATATATAAAGAAATTAAAAATTAAATGACGGAGATGCGTTAAAGGGTTTACCGCTCTTGTTAACAGATAATGCTTCCCTGTGGTGGAGAGGAGTGGAAAACCAAGCAACTACCTGGGCAGATGCAAGTCGATTGATAAGAAGTGTATTCTCTCCTGCCAAACCGGAATTCCAAGTTTACACAGAGATATTTGCTGACCGACAAGAACCGAACATCCCGATTGACGGTTTCATTTGTAAAAAACGGGCCCTTACCAGCCAACCGCCATGATGAAGAGACGAAACTCGACATGATTTATGGCCTGCTGACAGTTCATATTCGCAAGCATGTTCCTAGAGAAAAAATAAATACTTTCGACCAACTATTGGAAGAAGTTAGAAAAATAGAGAATATACAGTACGAAGAAACAGTAGCATCCAAACTCGGACATGTAAAACAAAATACCGATAAATCGAAGTTAGTTCGATGCAGTTTCTGTCATTTTCGTGGTCACTCTGTCAATGAATGCAGAAAACGCCTAGCCAAATTCACAACCCAAAGAAACACTACCTGCACTAAAGCAAGAGGCTTCCAAAATTTCATGTTATGGTTGTGGAAAACCGGGCTATTTTAGAAATAATTGCCCTGTTTGCTCTCAGAAACAATATTCTGATGTGTCTGCACACCAGTCCATTTTTATTCTGTTAATACACTCACTCAGTTCACGACGCAGGTACCAACAATACCGGTTAGTATATGTGGTGTCCAGGGCTTAGCGTACATAGACACAGCGGCTAGAACCAGCGTAGCAGATGCCACGTTGTACGAACATTTAAGATATCAAAAATCCTGCAATTTTAAGGCACAACTAGTAAACGTTATACTTGCAGATGGTCGACGGCGACCAAGAGGTTTTATTTACTACAACCCAGATTGAGATTGGAGGTCATATCTTTCAAATAGATTTTGTCATACTCCCGGATGCGGAAAACACTTTTTTGGGAATAGATTTCCTAGAAAAAGCTACAATTACACTAAACCTTCCCCAAAGAGCTTGGCATTTTGCAGATAATCCACTGAAAGTGTTTGATTTCCTACAGCTACAACAAGGACGAACATCAAACTTTATACACCAAAATATTCCGCAACAAGAAAACAGAAACAATAGATCTGATACCACCGTCTTGTCTGCTCAGATTGAGAAATCGCCATTTTTGGAATTCTTTACTTCCCCCTTGCCTTCTAGTGACTTGGAAAATCTCTCATAGGAACCAACGAATGATTGCAGGGTATTGATAGAAATTTGCACGCCACCCCGACCGACATATGGGAATGATTCGGACGTCTATTCACCTGGCGCAATTTTTGAGATATTTAAAGACGCCTTGCCAGCCACTATGTCTCCTCCAGTGAGACGAGACCCAAGAAAACGTCGAAAATTGACATTAAGCAGTCTGGACATTTGTTTACGCGCAGATGAGGCTTTTGAGTTAAATGAAGAACAACGGCAATTGTTCAATGGCACGCTCCAGCGGTACAATGACATTTATGCCACAGAAGGACCACCAACTCCTTATGCAGAACATAGAATACCAACAAGCGACCATACGCCACTAGCCAGTGCCCCGTATCGGCTAAATGTTTCCCGCCAAGAAATATTGAGACAGAAACTGGACTATATGCTAAGAAGGGCATAATAGAGGAAAGTGACACCCCTTGGGTATCGCCCGTCGTCCTGGTTCCAAAAAAGGATCGTGATATTTACGAGTGTGCGTCGACTACCGTAAGCTCAATGCCATAACAGTACCAGATCGATACCCCCTACCACGCATTGATGACCTATTGCATGCTCCTAAAGGCCGCCCCTACATGTCATGTCTGGATACTGGCAGATACAAATCTACGAACCAGACAGAGACAAAACTGGGTTTATAACGCTTTTTGGGATCTATAGATTCACCAGAATGGCCTTTGGACTGCGAAACGCCCCAAGCAGTTTTCAACGTTTGATGGACAGGTTTAAAGTTACCATAAAGGAAGTCCCAGTTCTGATCTATTTGGACGACCTTATTGTACGGTTATCTTCGTTCGACCAGCACCTGGAAGATTTACAAAAGGTCTTCGAACATCTACGACTGTACCGACTACGAGTTAGTAGAGAAAAATGTAACTTTGGGTGCGCTCGAGTGAAATATCTTGGACACCTTATTACAAAGGATGGTATGTAGACCCTGAGAAGACGTCGGCTATAACATCTGTACCAGCTCCAATAAATATTAAGCAACTATTATCCTTCGTTCAGACTTACTGATGGTATAGACGTTTGGTACCAAATTTCGCCCCTATCGCGAGACCACTCACCAATCTAACTAAGAAAAAAGCAGTATGGAAGTGGGGATCAGAGGAACAGCAAGCCGTTACTACACTCAAAGAGTGTCTCATAAAGCCACCAATACTGAAGCAAGCTGATATTACTCACCCTTTTACTATCAAAACAGATGCCAGCGCCTACGCTCTGGGAGCGGTTTTGGTCCAAGGGGAGGGGGAAGATGAGAACCCTATCGAGTACAGTAGCCGACTACTAACACCTGCAGAAAAGAATTATACAACTACAGAGCGCGAAGCCTTGGTGCTCGTATATGTAGTAAATAAATTTCGAGGGTATATAGAAGGCTCAGCGACGATTTTGGTAACAGATCACCAACCTTTAAAGTGGTTAATGAGTTTGAAGATGCCCACAGGTCGCCTAGCAAGATGAGCACTGCAGTTCCAACCCTATGACCTACAAATTCGCTACGCTCCAGACAAGACGATTTTTTATCGAGACCTCCGTGCCAAGCTCACAACAAAAATTGTCAGTTATGCAACGTCCAGTTTGGCATTCCTAAGAAAAGCGAGAAAGAGATGCGACAGAAACAACTGGATGATCCAGAATTAGAACTAGTGATTAAAGCACTAGAAGACACTGGCAATGACGAGTCTAACAGAAAGTGGCAAAATCGAGGTTATCTTCTGCACATACGCCCAGGAACAAGAGGATGATGATGCAAAGCTAGTTGTACCTAAGGTGGAGAGACTCCCGATATTACAAGCCTACCATGATGCACCTACCGCCGGACACTATGGCGTAGATAGAACCTTACAGCTCAGAAGTTTTTACTGAAATCGTTTTATTTTTTAATTTTTAATACCGTTAATTATAATTCGTTAAAAAAATTGGAACATTGGAACGAACATTATCATATCTTTGTGTTTTATTACATCATGAGTTATGTAATAATATAATTATAGGAGAAAATATTGCATTGCTTCGAAATTATCGAAAATTTTATTTTTTTATGTTGATCCAATAAATTATTTCAAATATGTTCTATTTTTTATTAAAATATCAACCTTGTTTGTTTTAGTGGATATACCAGGAGCCTGCTGAAAATATTACAACTACTGTAAGAATTGACATTGCAAACAAGTAGTGACGTACCTAGCTCGGAGAGCGGGGGGCACTTAGTACTGATATTCTCCTGGGTACGCCCCTGTATAAAAGTTATGTTGTTGAGCTATTAGTAAATATTTTATGCAGCTTTTTTCATCAATAAACAGGAAACAACCTTTTTTTCTGTGACTAAGACTCTACCTTCTTTTTTAGGCAACGAAGATCTTGCCTGTTGAAAAAATTAAAATGACTGCTATAAGTTATTCTTGCATTTAAATTAAATTAAAAGATCAATAAATTATAACATTTTTTTTTAATAGGAATGGGTTAACAAATACACGATTCTAAAAGATGTAACTAACATGTTACCGGATCATAAAAACACAGTCGAGATAAATTTTGATAATAGCAAAAAAGCTCCTGCTTTATCTGTGTATCCTGTAACTGTGCCCATGTATCGGACACAACTGAAGGACTACAAAAAGATCCGTACGATTTTGAAGATGCTTCGAGCCAAAAGAGTATTCCCAACAGACCAGAAAGCGTACATTCTTTTAAATTAGGGGTTTATAATGTAATAATAATTTTTTTACCGAAACATATTTAGAAAACACTAACAGGGCAAATTCTGTTCTGAAAATTATTCAAAAAATAATGATGAAAAATCTGTAAGTCCTGAGACTGTCGATGACGATAGAGATAAAGATTTTGTCACAGAAGAATATGAAGAGGACGAAGAAAGTAATGACAGTTGCAGCAAAATCAGCAACGAAATTAAAAATTTCACTATTTTAGAAAACTGTTTCTTAAAATCGTCAGACGACTTAGAGAATTCACAATAAGCTGAGTCGTCAAATGAAAATCCATTGAAATGAGGCAAATTTCTTTGGATATCACAAATCTTAAATCATGTTTTCCCCCAATACATTATAATAATTATACAACAGCAATAAGAAGTGTCGCGCGCTTGTATTACAGAAATAAGAAAATTTCTGTGTCGGAAATTCTTGTGCTGGCAAAGGTCTGTTAATTTTACAATGCTGTTTTCGTTTATGAAACCTTGGGCCCTGATTAGCTTGTGTTTGTTGTTGTAACGCTAAAAAAAACCCTTAAATAATGACGGTTGTTGACTGTCTTGTGGAATGTCATGTGTCTTTTTGTTTTTTGGTAGAAGGGCATAGATAAGAGAATGGTGATGTTAATATGTTAAAAGTTAATCTGGTTCAATAAATAATAATCACAGGAATATGTATGTGTTTTAATTAATATAAGAAGAATAGCAGACAAAAGAAATATCCAACAGCCAAAAGTTAAAAGGCCCAGAGCCTTCAGAAGACAAATAAAATACAATAAATAAAAAGTGAGGTTAAAAAGACGAAATGGCACATGTTGGAGTTGGTGGAAAAACCTTTTTTATTGAACCTTTGGATACTGAGAACTATTATAATTGGAAATTAAGAATACAGTTAATTCTAGCTAAAAACGGAGTGGCTGAATGTATAGAAAGGGAAGTAAATATAGCACAATTGACAGGGGAAGAGAAAGCAAAAGAATGAAAACAAAGCGAAATCACTTATAGTGCAGTGCGTAAAAGACAACCAGTTGGAGAGCCTATAGAAAAGAAAACGGCTTTTAGTATGTGGCAGGTATTGGAACAGAAGTACGAAAAGAAGGGCCTACCAGGACAGTTATATTTAAAAAAGAAAATGTTATCGATGAAATTGAATGAAGGCGAAGACTTAAATAAATTTTTAGATAGGTTTGATAGGTAGTTCGGCAGTTAAAATCTACTGGTGTAGAAATTCAAGAAAGTGATATGTAATTAATTTGTTACTAACATTGCCAAAATCATATGAAACGGTAGCCACAATAATCGAAAACCAGCCAGCAGATACATTGAACTATCATAGTTCAACTATGAAGAAGTCAAAAACAAATTACTGAAGAAGAAAAGAGAAAACATAATTCACGACAGGGTGTAGTAACTGATCAAACAGCTTTTGGTGTAGAAGTTATATGTTACGGTTGTGGTAAAAAGGGTCACATCAAGAGAAACTGCAGAGTAACTAGCCACAGAAGTTTTGCAAGAAATTTGGGTTATTCAAATACACAGAGAGGAGGTTTCCAGCAATTTCGAAGCAAAGGTTTTAATAGAGGAAGTAGAGGTCAAGGTAGATATCAACGATATGAAGGACGAAGTAATCTAGGAGAACAAGAAGTAGAAGAAAGAGGTTAGTGAG